TGCTGATCGTAGGAGCTTGAGATTAGTAGATCATAGTAGTCGTATCACCATGAGATGCCGATAAAGCTGTTCGTGATCAGCCACGAAGCTGTCCAAATTCGAGCGCCGACAGAAGCGACAACAAGAGCTCTTCGCCACCCAAGGTCCGGAGGATGAGGGAGCTGCTGCAGAGGAGGATGATGATGACGATGTGTTGGTAGGCGGCAGTAGCATGGGCAGTGTGGGCCCTGTTGATATTACTGGCATTACGCATAGGTTACTGTGAACAAGGAGAGTGATGTCTCTGCTGTAGAGGAGGAACCTGCGACCCAAGCTGAGGCACGAGCTCGGGATGCTGTTAAGAGGGGTCGACTGCGTGTTAGGAAGGACGGTAGGAGGATGAGGGATGGTCTGTGATGTGAACAGCTATTACAGTGTGGACTGAATCGTTATGCGAACTACAGTCATTCAATTTTGGGGGTTCGGAAGTCGACTTTTAGTGACATCAACGTGATAACAATGCGATTCGACTATAGTGTGGGAATATATGCGCGCATGGGCAACTACATGACAATATGAGGAGCTCTGAGGAGTGGTGTAGGTACAATGTATGTGAGGGGTACGGGTGGCCTTGGTAAGAATCAGCACATGACCTTTGACGAGAGTGGTGACGAAGGGTCGGATAATGAGGAGGATGAAGATGCTGATGAGGAGAGTGCTGCTGCTGCTAAGCAGGCCTTCATAGAGTCGATGAGGCAGAAGGTGGAGGAGAGGGAGGAGGAGGATAAGAGGTTGATGAAGGAGAAGGTAAAGGGTAGGGGAGAGGCCTGAGTATAGCAGATGAGGACAGGTACGGGAGAAGCATCGTAAGATCAAGGAGAAACTACGTCGGAAGAAGGGTGATGATGCTGATGAGGAGGATGAGGACATGGGAGCTGTACTAGCAAGTCCAGATGACCATGATGAGAATGGAGAAGATGAAGGGTAGGGCGTGGTTTAGTGGATGTCACTAGGAAGTGTGCTCAGGTCATCATTGGAGCCCTCACCTAAGCGACAACGAGGGGAGGTGGCTGATCTCGAGGAGGAGGCTTTGAAGGTGTTGGGTTAGATGCTACTATTATCAACGTAAAACTAAACGTCATTATTAGTGTAGAATAATAATACTCTTGCTG